GCAAATATTTATTGAATATCTGTTCTGTGCCAGGTTGGTGTTAATTGATAGAAATAATATAAATCTTTCCTCTAAAAGACCTGTCAGTCTATTAGGGAAGACAAAGTATTGTAATACAAAGAAATAAATCTGATAAATTTAGAATAGTAGGAATGCCCCCCCCCAAAAAAAAAACAAAAAACAAAAAACAAAACTGGCCATGGAGATGGGTTTTTGGGAGGTGGTTGTTCAGTGAAGTATTCTAGGGGCTACCTCTTTCATCAACTCTGTTGGGTCATAGTCTGTAGCCAGATTTAGACACCCTCTCCCCACTTCAGTTATCAGGACCACCTAAGCAATCTCTTTCTGTGAAGTGGGCTTGGCTTGAACTTTCATCTCAGGGAAAATACCGGTGAGATTTTTGACTTGGGCGGTACAAGCATGATCATTGAGTTGCTTTCTGGATGCTTCCGGAAAAAAGAAGGTAGCCATGGTGGTAAGGTGACTGTTTACCAAAACTTCCTTATTTGCTATCTTGGATTCTACCATTCATCTGCATTTTAGGTGCAATATAACCAGGAGTCAAACCCCTGATTTCAAGGCAACAAACAGTTGCTTTGTAACCTTATGGGTCTTTATTACTGGAGTTGGTTGTTGAATTTTAGCAATCAGCAATAGGGAATAGAAGAGAGGTGGGAACTGTTTTCTGAAGAAAAAGGATATGTTCTTTCTGACCTTCACATCCAGTATTTATGTTGAAACATCTAGTATTGATTTATAAATAGGATTAGCTCTTACAAATTTATATACTAAAATGCCATTTGCTTTTCTAAACCTAAACTTTTGCCCCGTACTTGTCACTGAGTAGGTATTTAAGGAATATTTATTGAATATTGACTGAAAACATAAGTTATAATAGGTGTCAATAATATTTTACTGGGTTGAATAACTGGCTAGTCATTTCTACCTTTAATTATTAGCTGCTCATTCAAGCCTATATAGTATAGTCTGTGATTCAAGTTGTAATTACCTTGAGTAGGTAATTTTAAAGCAAAAAAAGAAACCAGTGTATTTGGTCTAACACCTGGAAGTCTTGGACAGCTGTGGAATAAATATGTTCCAAATTAGAATAAAGAAGTCCATTAATTGTATTGAGTGTATATTGCCAAGAGAACCCGAGAAAATATAGTGAAGTCAAGGTATCTTTCATGGCAAAGGAATGGTTTTCAGACTGAAGAAAGGTTTTCAGACTAAGACATATGTCTTAGAGATGCATAACATCTAAGATAGATGAGGAACTAGAAAGAACATCTAGCTGCTCTAAATAAGTTCGTATCTCTTCGTCTAGATAAATTGTATCTCAAAACTGATGAAATTTCTAGTTTTGTAACCAATGCAAATTATAGGAAATGAATTTTATCAGAAAAAAATATGTGAGCCATTTATTATATTTTTCAGACACGAAGCAAGGAAGGTAAATTTTGAAAATTAGGGCTTACTTTCTTAGTTTGTAAATGTTTACAAAAAGAGTTATTATTGGGAGTCAGACATTTTCTTCAACCAACAGATATTTATGAATACCTTCCAAATTCTAACTTCTGTGATATATATCATATTGTGATCAAGGAGAAATATGAAAAGCTTAATGACATATTTCTATGTGTTTGGGCTTGAACTGCCCAAACCACTCTATTACATTAGTTTTTTGGTGCATTATTTATCTCCGAATGGATTTTCTTTTGCTTGCTTATTTATTTGTTTATTATTTTTCTCTGTTCATTAGGACATAACCTTAGAAAGTAGGGACTCATACTGCTAATCTCTATTATTAGAGAACATGTTGGATACTCAATAAATCTTTTGAACAGATTCATTAGTTGATCCATCACATCCAAATAAATTTATGGGATTTATATATGCAAATAAACCCATCAGGTTTTCATATCCCAGTGTCAAGGGGCTCCACATTCTTTGAATATTATTTGAATGAAGAAAAACATGAAATAATGGTTCATGAAATAATGTAAAAACTTTTCAAAACAACAAACCAAATTAAACAGGTGATAGTGGATAGAAATAATGCCTAAATTACTATTATTGGTTCTAGAGGAAATAAAGCATAATTAAAGGATGGAGATCAACTTCAACAAATGCTTAAAAAAAGATGAAAAGATTCTCAATTTTAGGTGATAGCATATTCACTGTGATCCAACACTATGAAATGACCCTAATCTTGTGCTCCTATATATTCCAAGCTTTCCACAAAGTGAAGGAAATAACCCCAATTATTATTGTCTTTATTGCTTTAATTGATTTTATTTTTAATATCATGAAAGTAATGACTATATTTTACTTTGTGTTAAAAACACTTCTAGTTAAACACACACCATTTCAAAGCTCAAAGGGATATTGACAGCGGAGAGTAATGAAGAAAGTGACATTCTTCAGTTGAGGATCAGCATGGAAGGGAAAGGTAAAACAGAGGTATAGCTTTCATACAAAAGAGAGATCTTAGTATGTGTCATGATTCCAGGAACTGGAGAAATAAGATCATTGTTGTAAGTTGTCAGGGAGCATGTTTTGGCTCAATATAAGGGAACATTTTGTAACAATTCTAACACTTAGTTCTCAGTGTTCTGCCTTGAAAGGTAGGTAAGTAGTAAGAGGTAGGTAACTAAACAGAGGATCAAAGAGATTCATATCTTGAATGAAGGGGTTGAACCAGATGTGCCAGCCTCTTACTTTCTGCATACCAGTTGAGTGAAGGTTAGATCTATAAAACTCAAGGTTTGATTTGATTTGATTACCCTGTCTTTTCTGTAGACACTTTGGTCTGTTTTCCACGGGACTGAAACAGTTCATGCAAATTTCCTGCTGTCGTTGGACTAAAAGAATCTGCCCTAGACACAGGCTTTTGAGATGATAGGAGCCATGAACTTAGTTAAGTGACTTGGGACCTAGGACAGAAATGGGCTTTACTTTTTAAAAAAATTTTGTTAAGGTGTAATCAATATATAACATTATATTAGTTTCAAATGTATAACATAATAATTTGGTATTTGCATATAATATGAAATGATTCCCACAAAAAGTCTAGTGAGCATTTATGTCCATACATAGTTCCACATTTGTATTCTTCTGATGAGAACTTTTAAATCTTAAAAGCCAAACTTTTAAATCTTAAAGCCAAACTTAAAAACTAACCCTGGAAAACTGATTATAGAACTGAGGAATCCAGAGGGGTGAGGGGAGGGAGAGAACAAGGTGGGGAGGGACTAAGGTGGTGGGCCACCGGTGCTTTGGTAACAGGTGTGTTTATGGTGGTGGGGCAATAACACTTGATAGGGGAAGGTCCTATATTCCCAAAATATAAACAATGATGTAAAATAAAATTTCAATAAAATAAAAGATATACCCTCTTAGCAACATTGAAATGAGCAATGCAATATTATTAATATAAAGCCACTATAATATGACTTCCTCATCTTGTAACTGGATGTTTTCATCTTTTCATTCCCTTCACCCATTTTTTCCTCCACCCCCCAACCTCTGCCTCTGCTAATTACCAGTCCATTCTCTGTATCTTTTGAGATTTTTTAAAAAAGATTTCACACATCATATGATATTTGTTTTTCTCTGTCTGACACATTTCACTTAATATTACATCCTTAAGATCCATCCATGTTGTTGCAAGTAGAAAGATTTCATTATTTTTTTGTGACTGAATTGTAGCTCATTGCATATACACCACATTCTCTTTTTTTTTTTTAAAAAAAACTTGTTGGCATATTTTATTGACAGGATAAATGAATCATAAATGAATGATCATAAATGAATGAAAAAGTCTACCTTGAGTCATTTTGTTGAACCTATATTTTCTCATCACACTTTTTGAAAGGAAAATAGTCACAGTACAATAAACAAGGAGGAAAAGTAAAAGCATTTTCAATTTCTTCATAGATGGCTGCTAACATTCATATTGTTTACAAAATGCAGAGACATTAATAATGTAAATTTTAAAGTCTACAATTATTTAGATTGTTGATGCTGCTTATTCTTAACTTAGTCAAGTTGCATTTTATATTTTCACTCCTCCACCTTTTTTCCTTTTAATTACACTATTTTTATTGAAGCAACAGTGGTTCACAACATTGTATATAATTTGGAAGCATAAGTTCATTACCTCTTCAGATCACACACCATGTTTTCTTTATCCATTCATCAACTGATGGGCACAGGTTGCTTCCAAAACTGGGTTTTTGATTGTACGCATTATCTTGATGTCTACAACATCCTCAAGCTCAAACCTCTCCTCCAAAAACCACATAAAACTAAACTATATTACTCTGAGTTTTACTTAGAAAGGAATTTATCATTCGATTCATCATCACTGTATTAGAAAGTATAGAGATATTTTTTTAAAAATTATGTTTTTAAAAAAAAATTTAAGCTCTAGTGTGGTCTTCTAGTTTTTCCATTTGGAATTAAATTGTTAATGTTACTTCTACTCAAATTGTTGAATAGTTTGTTGCTTGTTAAAGAAATTGATGCTGAATTTTACATAGTCTATTTTTATGAATGATGTAAGAGAATGTAACAACATTCAATTAAATTTATTGGCATAATAATTGTTAATTATGGCACTATAAAATGAACCACTTTCCTTTGAGAATCAATAAGAACCCACATTAATAAAATGGTACTCCTATGAGGAAATGCTGCTAATGAGAAAATTACATGTAACTTTGTACCTATTGATATTTTAAAGTTCTGAAACTATATAGCGTATAATTGCTTTTAATCGCTATACTGATATTTCACTGTGATATTTCTTTGCTTTTCATTCTAATAAAATATTAACATGGTGAGCTAATTTTTTTTCTGTCAAAAACAAGTTGTTCAAGCATAATATTTTTTCTTCATTTAATAACATGTCATTTAACTTGGTAGAACTCATCTAAAATTATGTTGTATCCTTCCCCTTTTCATCTCTACTCTTGCTTTCTGGTTACCCATTCTAGCAATACAAGACCAAGTCAAGCTACAAGGCTTTTGCAGCAATCCCTACAAACATATTTCTTTTGGAGCAGAAGGTCAGTGTTGGCTCAAAAGCAGAGTAAATTTTATGTTTCTAATATTAGTTTTGTTATGTTTTCTAAAATTTCTTTTGGAAAGTTTGCTGTTTTAAAGTTTTGCTTTTACTAATATTAAATGCTGCTCTTAGTTTAGAATGGCATGATGAAAGCATCTTGGTAAACAAAATTGGAGAAATCATTCATTTATCATTAGAGGCTGGATATGATCCTCCAGTTGTCCAGTTACTCACACACAGTCCTAGAAAATTTGATTCAGATTAGAATACAGTCCCATCCTTTATTATTTCAAAATGTGGTTACATTCAAGAACTTCCATCTCTATTCACATTGATGCAGAATGGAGGTAAAATGGAGTTATGTGTGGGCATCTGGCTACTTTGATCAAGTGGTTACTAGTAGTGGCTTCCACAGGGTAAAAATATGTTAACTGAGTATCCAATTTAGCTTCTTAAATTCCGTTCTGGACCAACCCTTTTATCCATTCTTGGCAGTCACTGAAAATGCCTCATGAGTGAGAGGAAGACTTGAGATCCCTCCAATGACCCAGCTGCTTTCATATGGGTCCAGGGCATTTTTGCTTTGCTAGTGAGAGTCATTAATTATAAAATTATAAAATTCTGTTTCAGTAGGTAAATTAAAGACTCTTATTTAATAAGCACATTACATATGCTCAGATGAAAACTAAATGGAGGATCATATCAGAAACGGAGTGAAATCAGTTACCAAATCTATGAAATAATTCATTTCATATACTATTTTTGTGATATTTATTTAGGCAATTTATTGCTTAGTGCATAGATCCCAGTTTTGTTATGTGTAATTATAGTGTTTCAAATACTGTTATTATCATTTGTCAAAATGTTAATGTTTGCCAGCCAGGTGGTATTTTGAACATTTATCAATCTAGATTCTTGTTCTTTTAGCATGATCTAGGGAATAAAACCTTGGTATAATGTTTTGCATAAAATTAAGAATTATTAGTGGGAAATGTTAAATATCTTATAGGTGAACATTAACAGGTAACATCTTTTATAGCATGTGTCTCTGGTAATTCCAAATTATCTACATGTGGCCCAAAACCTATGCTCTTTATATTTGAATGCTTTGAACTGGAGAGTCACCAGTCTGCAGATTTCCCTGCTGCTATTTCTTAGCTTTTCTTCTGAATTTCTTCCTTTTAAAGCTCATTTAAAAATGTGTTGTGCCTCAAGCACTGATTTTAGGAGATTTCAGGAGGCTATGGAAGGTGACAGTTTCTCTGTATCCTACTAACTAAGATCATAATGTTGAATTATAGTGGCAATATTATCCTACACAGACTCTCTGCTTATTTCAGATGGACATTTCTGAAATCTGGCTATAGGTGTCTGCTTTCACAGAAATGGGAGAAACTTGCTTCCTCAGAACCCTGGCAAAAAGGAGTCTAGGGGGTCCACTGTGTTATACGGTCTTTCCAATGTGCTTGTATCACCTATCTGGGTCTACTCTCCCTTAATTGTATGGTACCACTATATTTTTCTATTTAGAAAAATGAGAGATAATGTTTCTTGAAAAATTTCTGAGATAAGATTGGATGTCTTTATTGGTTCAGAATCTCTATCGACCAGCTATGCTCTCTGTTAATTAAATGGATTTTCGAGATTATAATCTATTTTGTTTTAGTCCTTAAAAATAATCATTAGCTTAATTTCCAATTTCACACAAACCCATTTTGTAAATGTATATGGTAGTACTGATATATATAGATATGATTCACCAAGTTCAAGTTCATATAGGAGAGGTTTTGTATTTTTAATTTTGAATAAAGCATACTCTAGGAAATTATTGTTTTCATTTTTAGTGATACAAAATGCAACTATCATGATGTCTAATTTAGAATAATGTTATTCTAGGGAGGATTGATTATTGTAAGCATAGTATAAGTATAAGACAACTTGTTCAAGTTATCTCTTGAATAAGATAAATTGCTTTTGGATTATAAATATTTTAATTGTTTGAAATTCACAAGATAAGACATGTTGTTGATTTTTTCTTTACATACTTTGTATAATTTTATAACATTTTTTAGTGGCTTTCCATTGTTTTGTGTTCCTTGAAGAGAAGTTACACATTATAAGAATTTTTAAATAACAGAAGTCTTATCCCAAGATTTTATGAGTATTCATTTCCATTTTCAGTATTTCTTGAATGATATTATGTTGCTCCTTTCATCTTGTAGTTTTAAAAAATAAATCTGGTAAATTAGTCCTTTTTAGCCATCTGTTCGTACAATAGAACTCATCCTTTGCCATTGAAATCAAAGGGATTTATTTCTGAATCAAATGGGAAAATTAAGACTATAATAGTCAGGAACTCATCTATTTTGAGAAGAATTAACATTCTAAAATGTTTCAAATCAATGAAACTTTTCTGAGATCCTTTTAATATCATATAGAACATCATAAATAAAGGGTAGAGTGATTCTACAGTATCATTATATTGTTCTGTTTGGGTCTATGCTATGGAATGCCTTTAAGTTAGAACTGACACATTCAAGTCTTAGATAGTTCAGTAGTTCAGTCACTCTTGTAAAGCCCCCAGGGTGGGGATTTTATGCCACTTTCTGTTTTATAGCATGTAGTATAACTAATAAGGAACCAGAATCACTCTTAAAAATACTATTTTAAAAGCAAGATTTTCTCCAATTGAAATACAGACATCCCTTGAAATGGGACATTAAGCTATCATTGAATCACTGGATTGGTTTCAGCTTTAATCACACTTAGATGAAGCCCATAATTTTCAGAACAGTACATTTTATTGGCAGGGAACATAAGGTTTTGGTACTTCCGTAATTTATTGTCTGCCTCAAAACTTAAATTTATAGTTTATTCCATATCCTATAATTTTTTTCTCCCTCTGAAGGTTTAGCAGGAAAACATTTTTTTTTTTTTTACTTTGTCTTAACTAAGGCTTACAGAAAGAGATAGATGCAATGCATCATATTTTAATGTGTTAACTTCAGAGTCTTTGGTTTAATCTCCTGCCAATAATCATCTTCTCCAAGATTTAAATGAGGATGAAATACAAGTGAATATAATGCAGGGACAAAGTAATCAGATCAACTTGCATTTGTGACTATCCATGGTTCTTGTTCTAGTAGGTTCAACAATATTGATCTCTGTAGAGGAGATAATTTTGATACGGATATTAATTTTTAGTCTTGATGTGCATATTGCTATCCTTTTCAGAAAATGTTTTTTTTTCAAAGATATCTTTCTCTTACTAATTATCTTTTCTTCAAAACATAGGTGTCTAAAAGCAATAAGTAAAAAAAAAATAACTGAAAATTTATGTTAATCTAAATAAATGGATTATTATTTTTATTGAGCAATTTTATATTAAGAAAAAGAAAAAGGAAAACCATGAAATCAAATAATTTGCATCTTTGTTGTCTCACAAGAGGTTAATATTTCTCTGTGACAGTATAAATTATTTCCTTGAAAGCAATTTATGTTCTTTGTTCCCTTGCTCACAAGAGCTCCTTAGGGTAAAATGAAGGCTGGACTTAAGTAACATTTTCCTAACAAATAGCATTACTTTCTGACACATTCAGTATACATTAAACTCATAAACTATGTGTTGGAAAGAAAAATTCTAGTGTAGTTCAATTTTGTAAATAGAAAATATAAATTATAGCATTAGTTATTCAAATGACAGTTACATTTTTTCTGGTTGAAGGAAGAGGGTAAAACAGTCACTTTGAACACAATAATAAAAAATGTGCTATAAAAATGAAAGTTAAAGATTCGCGATATCTTGTCAGTTTTTGAAACTATTCTAAGTTGCTAGTTTAATTTTTTAAATTATGAATTGGTAAATCCCAATCTGATCAAACATATGTCTTTGGGTGAGACTATTTTAAGATCTCTGCTTGTCTCAGAAATTTAGCAAAATCTGGTCGCTCTTAGCATGTGGTTTATACTATAGAGACATCTCTTAATTTAGCTTGGTACAAGAAATGAATTTGTCCCCAGTTTCTTTAGCTGTGGAGAAGTGCCCAGAACCTAAATCCACACTAATTGGTTCTCCTCAGGCTGTCATCTGCCAAGCACTATCTCTTTTAAATACTTAACAAATCATATTTAATTATGTATATTTGTTTTTTTTTTTTAAGTTCATTGAGAGACCATAGTGGTTTTTGTTAAATTTTTATTGAATGAATTCATTTAGTTTGTAACTGGATTGGTCTCTAAAATTCCAATTTTATCTCATAGGATTTTCAGGTCAAGTTTTGCTCAAAGGATTATAAAAATAAAGGGGCCTAATGTGTGGCAATTAGAACAATGATAATTAAGAGTTTTTCTTCATGGTAGAATAAGTTTATTCATTACACTTTCCTAGAAAAGATAGAGAGGACCTTCTGCTAGAAGAGAAGTAAGTAGGTTTTAGTCTTACAATCCTAGTGCCTTTTGACAGAGAAAACAATCAAGATGGCTGTCATACTGTGTAGAGTGTCAGACACTGAGCTAAATGCTATATCATCCTTGCAACACTAAAGATTTTGATGCTTGAATATGTCAAGTGTTTTGAAAGCAATAAGGCTAGTAAATTACTGAATTGGACCTCAAATGGGATATGATTATCCCATAGCCTTTCTCTGCTTATTATGCCACAGTGACATCAGCTAACTGCAAGGAAATGTTGAGTAAGAGATGATGATTTTGAAGTCCTATCTAAGACACTTGTTTAATTACTTTCTAAAATATACTTATTTTTCATTAAATTAGGGCAAAAAAAGTTTTTATTTTTAATTTATTTTTTTTTTAGTGAAGAACAATTAAAGGGAATTGGAAATGACTTAGCTCTGAGAAGATCTGAGTGAGTGAGGAATCACACACCAGCCCAATTTCTTGAATAACTGAAACAACTAAGAATTATAGTGGAGCAAGTGCTGGATGAACAAAAGGAACACCCTTCTGATATCTTGATTAACTTAAGGGAAAGTATAAATTCTCCTGCCACTGAGCCTTGATGAATGAGTTTGAAGCTGGCTTTCATGGTTTGCCAAAACATATGGGAGAAACAGATATTTAACTCTCCAGATCTTGACATTAAAAATGACAATTAAATTTCCTCAATTCTTGAAAATTTTAAATCAATCATAAAAAATACTTTAATGATAAGCATTCATATTTCTTTAGGAAGCTATACTACTGAAACCTTCTTTGACCTACACAGCATTTTTCCCGTCAGCTATGAATGCTATTAAGACCTGAGTCTCCAACTCGATAATCAAAGTTAGATTTATTTTGCTGAGAATATCCCTAGCCCTCCAAAAGGTTTTTTAGTAACAACTGAATAAAAAGCAAAGATTTTATAGTTATCATAGAATTTGTTCTAGAATTTATTCTAGAAGATCAAATTATCAAAGTACAGTAGCATTTAAGTTTAGCATGAATCATTTTGGAGAAAGGGTTAGTTTGATCATTACTAAAATATAGTAACTGAGCCATGAAGTTTTTGAATTCCAACACAAATAGTGCAGATATCATAAATGCAGTCAGACAGTGCAGATATCACAAAAATTTTATAAACTCTTTTAGAGTATTCTTCCTTTGAAGTGCTTTGCTTTCTAACCCTATTAGAGTGTGACTAATTAACCCCATCTTCAGATTTTTAGAACTAATCCTATTTCAAATAAGAGCAGGTTAGACTAATTCAAATCTACTAAAAAGTATTTGCAATAATATCAGAGATGCTTCATTTGAGTGGGAATACCCATTAAAGTTTTTGGCATATAAGCTCATAAAGACTTTGATTTACAGCCCTAGTTAATAATCCTTGTTTCTTAATTATAACGTGATTGCTGAGTTCTGACACTATTTTATATTAAATGTCATATTTACTATGTCTCTTTACAAAATGAGGGCCCCTCAGTTGCTTGTTCTGAATAAAATATAACTTCTTTTAATAATAATGTGTCTGATAACTTACATTAGCTGATTCTTTAAAAATAGGATTTAAAGCATGTCCTGTTTATGCTTCATTGGTTAGCATCCTTTGGATAGGAAATGCAGGTTTTTATAAAAAAAATTTCATTGGAAAATATTTTGAGGGAACTTCACTCAAAAGTAATAAATCTAAGGAAACATTAATACAGTCTTGCTGACTACATTGTCAAAAAGCAATATGGTCAGAATTCTTGTTAATAAAGATTTAAAAGATTTTCTTTTAATACATTTTAAATTACTGAGGAAAAAAGTACCTTTTCTGGCTGCTTGAAGGAGTGGATCATAGTGATATATTTGATAGTGTCTCAATTACAAAAATCAATTCTGGTAAATTTCAAGGCTACTTAAACTCAAAATCATCTCCCCTCCATATTTCAGTGCAGTGTGAGTATTATCCTATTTCCAAGCTTCAGCATTACTGATCTAATTGATCTAATATGAGTTTTCTTCTTTAATTTTCCAAGATTCATGGATGGATTGCTTTTTCACTCTTTAAGTAAATTCATTATTTTAAATAATGAAAGTTGTTTTTGCCTCTAAGAAGTTCCCACAAATCAACCCTATTTTGATTTGGGCTGAAAACATATCTGCATATTGTGCTAACACAGATCACATGCTCAGATCTTTGATGATAAACAAATTTAATTATAATATGGGAAAGTTTTGAATCTTGCTGATTGTGACAATGTGCATGTAACTGGAAGGGATAATGCTAAGCAAGAGAAGTCAGTAGGAGAAAGGAAATGCCAGATAATGTCACTCAATGTGGAATAAAAAGAAACAAAACAAAGGAACAAATAAAACTTGACCAAATGGACCCTCAAAATCTAACTGCAGAATTGAGGCTACTGAAGAGGGAGCGTGTTGGGAGAGGAAGAAAGCGGGTGGTGGTGCATGTGCTGTGGTGGAGGATTATTGATGCTTTGGTAGTAGGTGTAGTGTAGGAACATATCTCTGAATAAGTGTGAACCTGTACTCCTAAATCATACACAGTGTTGCAAACCAGTGTTACTGCAATTAAAATTATACAGTCTAACAATAAATAGATAAATACTAAAAAACAAAAGATTATAACTTTCAAGGATCTTGACTTTCTGATGGGGGCCATTCCATTTCTTCATATGACTCAGTGCCAAATTAACTGTAAATCCCAATTCCTGTCATCAGTGAATTTAATATCTTCAGAACAACCAAAACTTTCTGAATTTCAGCTTGATTTTGTTATTAACCCTTTGGGATTTCCTTGACATTTTTATGAACTCAACTTTATATTTGAGTTGAGTCACATCAAATTGCTGTATCCAACTGAAAATTAGTTACAAATATAAATACGTGTGTGGTTCAATCTATTTTCTAGACATGTTTATTTTAATTTGATCATCAATTGTTGGTATTTTAAAGCAGCACATTTTAAAAGATATTAGTTCTAACCCACTTTCAAGGTTTGACTATCTACCACAATTAAAGTTATTAAAAAAAAATATGTACCATGATTTCTAAAAGCAACTACAGATGAGGTTATAAAAATGTGGTAAGCACTTGTGGACTACTTAGAGTCAGTAGTTGGTTCCTAAAAGACGTTACTTTCAAGAGATAAATGAATGATCATTTGAATATATAGGTTCTGGCAGGCTTATATACAAATACACAAAACTGACTCAGTTCTATATTGTCGTATGTTATCTATAGTATTAGGATTATAGGCAGCCAGTTCCTCTTATTCATATGTACCTTCTGTTCTCCATTCCATCATTATAATTTTGATATAGCCATATCCTGGTTAGAAAGTGTCAAACTTACTATGGAATCATAGTATCTACATATTACTCACCAGAACTCATTTTCTTCCAAGAGAACCAGTGTTAAAACAAATTCAGAGCTATTTATCTTGACCAATGGGCAGCATGTCCAGATGCTAGCGTTGTCATGCATGTGATAAACCCCTAAGACTCCAGGAGAGCAACATCTAAAGGATAAGATTTCACCATTTTTTCAGTTCAATAACTCCCAGAGGAAAATACCGTGTAGGATTTCCACCCCGCCAAATCCATTTCTCTAACCTAAATCCAAATTTAAAAATTGGGTATGATAACCTATTGGAAAGACTTAAGATTACCTTTCTTTACAATAAAAATTTTCTGTGCTTTCCCCCTGCATCTTCTAAAATTAAGATCAATCATGAGAAATGAATATTTGGGAACAGAAAATTTCATAAGGAGAATTCCTAATTGGTGATCAGATAGTTTTTCTCTGAAATGGTCCCTCTTATTTATCCTGTTGGTGATTTTTAAAAGCAATTACAGAAGAGGTTATAAAAATGTGACAAGCGGGCCTCCCCAGTGGTGCAGCCAGTTGAGCACAGCACTGTGAAGCTGTCTGTAGCCTCTGCAGCGCAGGTTCGATCCTGGCCAGCCAGAGAGCTACCCACATGGGGTAGCAGACCTCTCCTGTCTTGCCCGCTGTTCCCCTCAGCAGTGTATTTTTAGTCAATCTGCCTGTTCTGTTCCCCACTCTGTCTCTGGCGAATCCTCTCACTCTCCCACACATCTGGCCTTTACCCCGGTTCTTGTATAAATAATAAATCTTAAAAAAATGTGATAAGCTCTGTGGACTAGCTGGCATAAGTGACCATTTCCTAAAAGACATTACTTTCAAGGGAAAAATGAATGATCATTTGAACATATAAATTCTGTCAGGCTTATAAACAAACATACTCCCTCCCTATCAGTATTGCTTAATACATAACACCTGACACTAGGCAGATGTGGCCAACATCTGTGTTAGATTTATTAGTCACATGTACTCCAGCCCAGGAAAGAAGACCATTGCATACAATGCAGGGTCACATGGGAGTGGCTCAGGAAGAGAGTCAACAATCAGGGATGGTGATTGATAAATTGATATATATACATAAATGAATGACATACAAAAACTTGCACCTATTTAATGTGTATACACCACCCCTGATTGTTGACTCTGCTCCTGAGCCACTCCTATGTGACCCTGCTTTGTATGCAATGGTCTTTTATATATATATATATATAAATTAATATATATATATAAATTAAACCCTCTTCCCCCAAAAAAACATGTTCTAGAAGCATAAATTATACTTACATGAAACTAAGAATTGCATAAAACAACCTTATGTATTGTTTTGTGATATATGTGTGTATGTATGTTGAAAAAATTAAAGACATGATAGATACAAAATTGATGAGCTGTCTGTCATGTGGAAGTAGAAGAAACAAGGAAGGAGGAAAACACACTGGTTTCCATTTTATATATTTTACTTTTTTTACTTTGTATTTGACTTCTAGTTGCAATATCGTGTATACACAATATTGAGGGTTATTTTCTTTTTTCCATTTATATATATGACATACATCATATTTAATAAACCATGTTTTATTGTGAAAGTCGATAAATGTTATTTGAAGCCAAGTCTGATGGATAAGGTAGCCAAGATTTTTGGAGATAAATGATTAAAAATGAGGTGATTTTTTTCTTTTATATTTATACTTTGTGTAAACTGACTCTGAAACATTTTCTCTAGTATTTTTTGTAATGTTTTGAGAATATTTTGAGAAAAGGCTACATCATTGTTCTTTCTTTGTGTAACTTCCCAAGGTAATTCTTTCAACTTGCAAAGGCTCATCTGAATGCATAAGAAGGCCAAGTTCTGGGCAATATTTTGCCTGTTTAAAAGCTCAGCTTCATTTCTTTACTACAAAACTTTATGTTCAAGACATTAATTCCACAGGAGAAATTGCACAAATGTGAAAAATGCCTCCAGGTCAGAGACTAGCTCATTAAATGATTTCAATTTTTTTTTCTTGGAAATATTGAGATATACAGGACTTGCTTTGAATAGACTTTTCTACTACATTCATATTTGAGTAAAAGCCTCACATCAAAACTGTCTCATTTATCACTAGGCACTGGATGAACCAGTCAAGACAGAAAGCAGCTCCAGGGACAGCACACTAGACCCACCTCTGGAGGTAATAGCGTTAGATTACCCCTGCTTTTGAAATACAGTCCCAAAACTCATTGCTAACTCAGTACCTGGTTTCAATTCTTCCAGTTGTGTTTCCCTGCACAGCTCAGGCAGCAAACTGAAGAGCTCTGTGCTACCATTGATAAGGTCTTACAGGATTCCTTGTCTATGGTAATGCCTTAGACTAGAGTGTGCAATTCAAACATTTGCTTTGCTTCTCTTCATTTCCCTCTACTTAAATGTTACATATCACAGCCTTATCCTTTTTTTTTTTTCTTACTTTCCAGCATTCTCCTTCAAGCTCCCTCCAGACATTGTTGAGTTCTGACACAAACAAAGTACGTATATATTTAATATATTAAATAATATCATTTGCTGGGCCATGAGAGTTACTAGATCAATGATTTTAAAACCACAGGCCAATGGCTGGTTAGTGAATTGGGAAATTGCTTTAGTGGATAGAAACCAGCATTATTTTTGTTAGCAAACAACAATTAAAAAATAGAATAGTAAGAATGTCAAATAGCAGACTGTCCCAGGCAGTGCAGAGGTATTGCTGACATTTGTTTCAGTTTGTTTACATGTAGATATGCAGTTTTGTGGATATGAGCTTGCAGAATAAAACATATTTAACTGTGGGTTAAATTCAAAACAGTTTGAAAGCCAGCTTATTAGGCTATGTTGTTATATGTTGTCATTTTAAGCTATCTGAAACTACATGTAAAATTTGTGGCTTATTTTCATCTCACATTGTAGCTTCAGCCTATATAATTCACAGTAACATAGCAGTGGAAAAGGAATTAGACTGAGATCTTAGGATTAGTCTAGGATCTTAAATGCAGGCAACATTTCTGAATTTTTTCCTTTTTGTTGATTGAATTTTTCATTGTTCTTTCACTTGGATGGACAGAAACCTGGCTATTTTAGGTGATTAGAATCCTACTAAGTTGTTATTGTCAAAATTGAATACTTAAATATTTCCTTCCTGTAATGTAGCCATTTTCATTTATTGAGATAAAATATTACATCAAAACAGGGGAGGGGGCCTCCCCGGTGGCGCAGCAGTTGAGCGCTGGGTTGCGAAGCTGCGCGCGGCCTCTGCGGCGCCGGTTCGATCCCCGGCTGCTCCCCAGCCACCAGAGGAGGGTCCCACATGGCGTGCAGACCTCTCCTGCCGCCCGCTGCTCCCCTCAGCAGTGTACTTCGGTCCTTCTGCCTGCTCTGCTCCCCGCTCTGGCTCTGGTGAATTCTCTCGCCCTCCCGCACTTCTGACTGTACCCAGTGCATGTATAAACAAAACAAACAAACAAGCCAGCAAACAAATAAATAAAGCATGCCTCTATAAAAAAAAAAAAAAAAAATAAATAAATAAATAAAAAAATAAAACAGGGGAGGGATCAAAACAGGGGAGGGAAGAGCATAAGAGATGGTTCATGGGTATCTTGGTGGTGGGAATTTTATGAGGAGTACACCTGAGAGGAGAATGAATGACAATGTAAAAAACATATAAATAAATTAAAAAATTAAATATTACATTTCTCCAAATTATTTTTCGGAATATTCAGTGCTCACACCAAATTTCAAAATGGTTGTAGTTTTCCTTTATAGATAATTGTTAGGATTCTTTTTTTTTTTTTTTTTTTTTTTGGTCAGCCTTATTTCCTCTTTTATATTTAGTGTAAATACTTTTTGTATGTGTTCAATAAATTAGACATTGTGTATATTGAGTAAGTTCTAAATGTACAAGCTACAAGGTAATTAATTTTAATTTTCAATTGGGACATTATAGATAAATATCCATTAATAATGACATGAAAACATAATAACCAATTATCATCAACATTAAGAAATTATGTTTTGGCAGAGAGGACCTAAAAATTGATAGTTATAGCGTTTGTGGTCTATTTTGTTATATAGTCTGTCTTTTAAGTATATAAATATAAAACTTTGATATGTCAGAGATATTATGTAAATATTAAAAACTATTTTTTCTTATTTCATTTGTTGAACACATAAAAATACCATATATTTTATTACTTAATAGGAATAGAATTTAAGTTATGTACAGGACTCAAGGAATTTATATTATTTATTATTACAGATTCATTTAAGAAATATATTTATTGAATAAATATGTAATCCTAATAGTGTTAAACAAACATTATTCTAAGCCACTAAATTTAGAACAATTATATTATTAAAAAATTGTTATTATTAAGTGCCAACTAGGACCTGGAACTATAGGCACAGGATGAGCAAAGCTGAGTGCTACGGGGCATAGGCTTGATAAGAGCTCAGAAAGCAGAATCTAAGCTGAGAACAACAATGGACCAACAATGGAATCCACCCATAGAACGATCAGAGAGCAAAGCTTCCTGGCAGAGGAGTAACTATGTGCAAAACTTCCCCAGGCAGGAGAGAGCTGGTGTACGGGAAGATGAAGGCCAGTGCGGTTGTACTGTAGTGTCCCAGGAGTAAACTGTGTGAAAGAATGAGAGAGTCGGTTAGCAACAGTAATTTAAATACTTATATGCTGTGGTATGAAGTTTTTTTTTTTAAAGATTTTTATTTATTTACATAAGAATCGGGGTACAGGCCAGATTCACGGGTGGGGGGGGGCTTGGTGAGAGGATTCACCAGAGACAGAGTGGGGAACAGAACAGGCAAACTGACGAAATACACTGCTGAGGGGAGCAGCGGGCATGGCAGGAGAGGTCTGCGCACCATGTGGGACCCTCACTGGTGGCTGGGGATTGAACCGGCACTGCAGAGGCTGCAGGCAGCTTCATAATGCTGCGCTCAACTGCTTGCGCCACCAGGGGAGGCCCTGTCGCATGAAGTTTTGAGTCCAAGAAAAATGGGAAGACATAAAAATGTGGGGCAAATCATATGGAACCATTGAAATTTTTATGATGGCTGCTGTGAGAAAGTACTGAGCTTAGAGGGACAGTCAGTGTTGGTGCCCGATTTGGGGTATGTTCAGAGGAAGTGAAGAGAAGCAGATGGTTTTGAGAGAGATTTCAGACTTGCAGGTGTGGATGTGAGTGGCAAAAGAAAGAAATAAGGATGAACTCAGGCCCTTGCCTTGAGCATTAGTCACAAATGTGGTGCAGAGTGGTGGAGGGAAGAGGGTCATACCTGCTATTATGCTTATCTTGAACAGGATGAGCTGGAGGTGAGTATCAAGAAGACCTTGAACCTCTGTGTCTGGAGCTAGTAGAGAAATCTGGGGCTGGCTGGTTTGCTGATATTGTCAATGCCCTGTGCAAGAATAAAACTGTGTTGGTCTGATAAACGGGTAGGGAGGCGCCCAGGAAAAGAATAAAAAGGCCATGTGGTAAGAGGAAATTCAGAGCAGTGTGGCCTCACAGAGATCTGAGAGGAGAGCTTCAGAGAATATATTGTGGTGATTGCTGCCAAGAGGAAAAGAACGATAAGGCTGGAGAACTGTTGATTAGATTTGGTTTGCAAATTTTGAAACTCCATTACTGATGTTTATGTGTTGGTGTTCATTCTCATGTTTTTATTTATATAACTTTTTTTAAAGATTTATTTATGCATACAAGAGCTGGGGTACAGGCCAGAGGTGTGGGGGGTAAGAGGATTCACCAGAAACAGAAGTGGGGAGCAGAACAGGCAGACTGACTGAAATATACTGCTGAGGGGAGCAGCGGGCGAGACAGGAGAGGTCTGATGCACCATGTGGGTAGCTCCCTCGCCAGCCAGGGATCAAACTCGTGCTGCACAGGCTGCAGACAGCTTCATAGGTTGTGTCTTCACCCCTTGCACCACCAGGGAGGTCCTTATTTTTATAACTTTTACTAACTTACATATCATCCTTTTTAAATCTAGTATGAAAACAGTGATTTTATATTGGTAATATATGGGTAATTTTAAATTTTTTTCCCAGTTATGTCTATAGTTTTTCCTATTACATTTTTTTTTATTTTCTGTTATTTTACTTTCTTTAATAAGTAGTTACCTTCTTGTCAAATTTTCTTTGAGGATAGCACATTTCTGTATTTCACATTTATACTTAAGTTGATATTCTATTTTTCTGGGCCCCTAAGTCATTTACAATGATTGTAATTCCTGTTATATGAGGACAAATGTCTATTATTTTTATTTAAAGTGCTTTTCTTTTTGCTTTTCCTGCTTTTCTTTGGGTATTTTTCACATTTACTAGCTAGAAAATTTTGAAAATATTACTTTATATTTTTGTTAATTTTCATAGTAACATACAAATTAAAGAATAATTATTCTTTGTTAATTTTAAAGCTTACAAATATCTTTCCCAAAATTAGATAAGTAATAGAGCATTTTTCACTTTCCACTTATTTTTGATACACACACACACACACAAATTATTGTTCTTTTGGCTTTGTATCTGAATTTCTATAATTATATTTTTTTCTTGGTCTCTTATTTTCTTAGATCCTTATTTCTCACACATTGATATGTTTTGCCTAGGATTGTTTTTCTTTTTATTGGAATCTTGCTGAAAACCTACTCATAAAGGTCATTTATGTTAATTTTATGGCCTATGTTAATGTTAATTCTATAGTCTATGTCCCCAAGAATAGTTTTATTTTACTCTTTCAAATTATAGTTTTGTTAGACCTAAAATTATAGGTCATCTTTCTTTAGTATCTCCTCTCCCCCAGGTTTTTTTCTTTAACAACATATTTGTGGAGTGTTTTGTCAGCACGATATTTGTCCTTTTGCTACTTAGTGATTATTATAAAGTGTTGCTATAATCCTTTTACTTTTTTTTTTTTTTACAGTTTGCACACTTATTTTATTTCAGAAAGGAATGGTCTTCAGTTTTCTTTTTTAATTTTTAGTATCAGGGAAGATGAAAATGGGATTTTTTTTAAAAGTTTATAGCATGAGCAATGTTTACTCTTTGCCTTTTAAGGTTTGTATTTTGAAACAATTTTGGACTTACAAAAGAATATCAGAGTCCCCATAAAACCTTTTTTTTAAAGCTTATGACAGTATTTAATATTATTTTTTATATTAATAATTTATTTTTTTACATCATTGTCCATTTTTAAACAATATTTGCTCCCCCACCCCCTCAGGTGTAGTCCCCATAGAGTTTCCTTCTCCAGTGTACCCGTGCACCATCACCTCAGTCCCATGTGCTCCTCCTTCCCTCTGATCCCTCTCCCTCCTCCTCCCCTGCAGGATATCTCTGATTTATAATTGTCCCTTTTTTGCTTTGTTGTGTTTTATACTGTTATTATTTTTTTACATTGATGTTTTATTGGGTTCCCCTATATTCCTGCTATAAGTGAAACCATCCATTATTTTTCTTTTTTCCTTCTGGCTTATA